CCTGGCAAAGGCCAGGTTGGATTTCGGATGGTTGGTGAGCGAGCCGTAGTCCAGCCAGCTGAGCTGCAGAGGGGATTTGTGGTGTGCTAACTCTGCACCCCCCATGACTCTCCACACCTAAAAGTGACTTTCCAGCGTGGCCGTGTTAGCACAAAGCATCTGGCATGGTTTTACGTTGGCTCTGAAGGGCTCAGGATGTGCATCTCCAGCAGAAGGGCCTGTCCCTTTCTGGTGACTTCCAGGTACGCAGGGCTGCTAGAGTCCCAGTTCCCGCACTTCAGTTTTGTGCCTAAAATAGGTGGTTATCAGCCAGGACAAATCTGCTGTGTTGGTGATTCTCTTCCCTCAGAGGGGGTGCCTTAGCTTGTTTAGGGTTCTCTCTTTTTAATCTTCAAACTGAGTGAACTTACACCAAGATGAGACGCTTTCCTACCCGTGACCCTTTGCTCTTCCAGCACAGAGGAATTCCTGAGCCCTTTCAGGGAGCTGTTACATTTGATCCTTTGGGAGACCAGTGAGCACATTGGTTAATAAAGCCATCAGCCTGACCAGACAGGCTTGGTACTGGTTGGTCCTGGGTTTCAGAAGGAGGTTAGCAATTTTAAATAACAACATAATTTGCTGACCAGATAAGAGGCTGAAGAAATGTGGGTCGGCAAATCATTATTTCTTACATCAAAGTTTGGACTTCGAAGTCTTAAAATATTTTAAAGACCACTTCGGTATCTTGCTAATTAAACAACCCTGACCTTTTGTGAAATGCCGTAGGCACTAATGTGCATATGGAATTTACACAGGCTATCAGAAGTTTAGCACATGCTGGCTTAGTGAATAATGTCACAATACAAAATGAAAAGAGATTTTCTTCTAGAGATGTACTTCAGGCTTTAAAGAAAAACCTATTCTGTGAATAGTTGTTGAGGAAGAAGTTTCCTTTAGGGTAGTCTGAGCATCAGAAATTAAGCTCAGTCTGACTGTACGGACTTTTGGTTGAATATAATTATTTCTGCTTCTTAATATCAGTAGACAAAAATGAGACACTTCTGGAGATCTTGAAATGAGTAAGAGGGTGTAAAAATTCCCAGTCTGTTTCCCCAAGTAATGGCTTAAGCACATATACCCAAACAGGGAACCTGCACTTCAAATCAGAGTCTCTTGCGGGAGGCTTTCTGCTTTAAGAAAAACCCAGATAGTGTTTTGTTGTTTGATGGGAGTCTTCAGAGTCCAGTCCTGTATTGGTTTTTATTGTAATGATGTGAGATGTTGATAGGTTTGGTAAATATGCTGTATGTCTCCTCTTCATCAGCTGCCTTCTTAATTTTGAAAATTCAAGCAGTCATCCCCTTTACAGGATTTGGAAGATTTCTGTTTATTTCCATAACAGAGGGAGTTTTAGGTCTGTCACTTACTTTTCCTTCACCTGTGAATTGAGGCCATGTAAATTTTCTTCCCTACTAAAGCAAATTTATTAAGTGTCTGAAGAGACCTATGATGAAATTTTACACTTTAAGTGTTCCCAAAATGTTGGAGATGCGCTGGGGAAAAAACCAAACAGAAAAGATTGTGGCATTTCATTGCTCCGACAGTGGATTTTCACAAATGTGTGCTACGTTCCTGCACAGGTCCAGCTGCAGGTCGGACCCCAGAGATAGAGCAGAATTTCGTGGCAGTTTTGTGAGTGACTCTGCCAAGCAATAGGCAGCTCTTGGACTCTTTTTATTTTCCAAAGAGGGAAGAATCTTTCCAGATTTTTTACAAAATGACTTCTGCTTCTGCAAACACAGTGTATGTTTATCCTCAGAACCAGAATGACATGATCAGAAAGCTTGTGAGCAGAAACATGAGTGAAATAAAGGCATTTTCAAAATTAGGCCTGATTTTACAAAACATGAGCTTAGTTCAGCATTCTGCAAAGTCCTTTCGACTTTAAATCACTGTGAGCAAAATAAAGCATGTTTATGGGTCTGAGCAGGGCAGGGAGCTTTGATTTATTTCTTCCAAAAAGTAATTGAGATTAAACCACTCTCCTTATGTGTGTTCAGTATTTTTTTTTATTGGACATCTTAAGCAAAATTATAGCATCGCTGTACTCTGCATAGAGGACAGCGCTGCGGATTAATGGTTTGGATCCCAGGTTGCAGCGCTCGTGCTGGGTTCAACCTTGAGGTGGATTTTTCTTTGCTGAGAGAAATAGATTGTTGGGCTTAGTGGACTTTGCAGCTGGTAATCGCTGTGACAAAATGGGCTGCACCTTTGCTTCGTGTGTTGGGAAAAAGCCCTACATTGGCACAGAAACTAGGATGAAAGCTCTCCCCGCTCAGGTGAGGGTCAAAGCCGATGTGTGGAATTCATAAGGAACTGCTGTTTGGTTGTGGCATGGCAAAACTGCCTCCATTAGAGCTGGTTCCTGGGAGCCAGGAAAGTCCACTCCATCCCACTGAATGCTGACTTGGGAGCAGCCTGGGTGGCAAACCCAAGTTTAAATTTGTCCTTTTCTTCTTTCTGAGCGTCTTGGGAGGACAAGGAAGTGGAGGCAGAGGACAGATCCACAGTAATTTTGCCCATATGATCAATTGCAGGAGTAGAATTGGGAGTACAAACTAGATTGAGCTTTTAAAAGCAGGATGATTTTTCAAATATTTTGCTTGGCAAAGCAGGTTGGTTCCAAAAAGGTACGTGCTCTTTCCTCTCTTTGCCACACTGTCCAGAGAAAATACCCAGATGTCCGTGTGAAGTCCTGTGCACAGGGTTACTCTGGCATTTTTATTGCGTGAGTAGGAAACCCTGTGAAAGCCAGTCTTTTTCAGAGTATCTCAGCATTTCCGTAGGAGCTGTAGAGCTTATAAACCATGGGCTAACACAAGCAGCCTACCCTAAAAGTGCTGGAAACCTCATGGCGCATCCTTTGTGGTTTTCACATCTGTGCACCAGTTTTCCTCTGTCACGCTGTAAATCTGGGCTGGCTCCACCTGCCGAAGGGCTTTACACTGATCAGAGTGGGATTTTTCAGGAGGAGGGTAGTTTTTGAATGGCAGGTGTTACAGGTAGGACAGGTCGGACCAGAACTTTCGACGTGGTGTGATGAGGTACAAGATATTCCTCTAGACTACGAGTCTCGTCGTTCAGCCTCGTTAGCAGTGCTCACTGGCGATGTGTTTGCAGTACCAGGTGCGATTGCTTTTAAGGACTAAACTTTGACTACTGTATGGCATGCAACATGTAATATTTCTTTCCTTTCCCAACTGCTTTCTATTACATGCCCAGGGTTTAGACCGCTCCAATTCCTGGGTAAACACTGGTGGTCCAAAAGCAGCCCCATGGGGATCCAACCCCAGCCCAAGTGCAGAGCCAACACAGGTGGTGTCTTCGGGAGAGGTTTTTCTGGCTTTCTTGTTTCCCTGTAGCGTACCTACCTTCCTTTCAGTGTATACTCTGATTTTGGTAGTTTGGTTCTTTTATTATTATTCATTTATTCCTTGAAAACTTTGTGAGTTTTATTTTATAAATTAGCATCTTGTCCTCCCACCACCCCACCACACTGCATGAAAAACCTCCAAATGCGTGAACGTTTCCCCTTCTTTCATTTCAGTGGTTGCTGGTCTGTGAAATGTAAACACTGTGACTGCTTCGCTTTTCTATTCTCTCTCTCTCTCTTCTTCTAACCCTAGTTTCAGCTTCAGGTGGAGCACATTTCTAAGTGGGAACATTAATCACGGCTTCATAGTTTTGTCCGTGTTTGCCATTTCTTTTGACGTTGTGAACCATTTTGCCATTTTCATCGGTCATTTCGTATTCATAGTCGAGTAATCCTTCATGACTGTTTGAGTGGAATATTATTAAACCAAAATTGGTACACGTGTAAAATTCTCGCTTAAAACATGTGAATTTGAGTGCTGGAACCAGTGACTCGTTAGGGCCAATTGTATCTGTTCTGTGTTGCAAAGTATGAAAACTTTACAGCAGCTTCAGTCAGAAAGACCTCACTCATTTAGCCCCCGTTGCCTGCTGCTTTCCACTGCATGACTGCCTTGGCCGTACCTCTCAACTGCACCTCCTTCCAAGGCTGTCAGTCTTCCCGAAATATTGAGTCTGCAGTCACTCGCACTCGACGGCAAATTGTTTCTATGAGAAACACAATTCCAGTAGTTTTCTCATTCCCTGCGGCAGTGGCAGCATCGCTGTGGGGTACGTCCCCACGCGCTTGGTCTCCGGTAGATTGAGAGGTATGGACTGAAATGACAGGTATTACCTCCTTGACGGATGCATGTTGATACAGTACGATGAAAAAGTTTCATGCTTTGCAGCATTAAGTGTCTTTGTGCATAAGAACATGCAGTTATTTAAATAGCCTGTATGTCTTAAACCAATAAAAAGTACTATCCTTTTGTTTAAACCAGATCTGTAAATGAGTAAGCGTTTGAGAATGCATAAAAAGGTGTAAAGACAGTAAAAGCCTACAGTCGGAACAGTATTTTTGTAAACGTACATTGTCCTTGAGCTGCAAAACCCATCCACAGCAAACTTTAATGTCCTGTCATCATTCATTCATCTCCACTCCGTAGGCTACGGATCGAAGTTGTAATCGTATGTCTTCGCACACTGAGACGTCAAGTTTCTTACAAACATTAACAGGACGATTACCAACTAAAAAGGTAGATTTCAGTGAAGACGATTGATATTGTGGGGCAGGGAGGTCAAGTCATTCCGACAGCATGATGCAGTCTATTCTTTTATTTATAGCCTGATTCTTTCCGAGGTCATTAGGAGCTGCCGTTGCTGAGCACCTCGGAATATCCAGGCTGTAGTGAATATGAAGTATTTTGGCAGAGTTGAATTGGGAAGAATAAAATGATCAGGAGTAGCTTGTCTGATTTAATGTCCATAACTGTTTGGAGCCCGTTTGTTACTGGCTTTCAAAAAATACGAATAGCACTGTCTAGACATGTAAATGGTACATTCTCGTGTGCAAAATTGGAATGTGCTCGGCGGTTAGCGCCGCGCTGTGTGCAGAACGCCGTTACGTAGGGGTGAATCCAGCGCGGCTCCAGAAAGTGAGTGGGAGCAGCTTTGGAAGTGCGCTCCCGTCGAGGAGCGGAGCTCCTACTAAGCGATGTGGGAAAGGCAAAATGCCTGACTTTTTGTGAGGTGAAAATGTGGTCACTGACAGCGCCCAGTCTGCGGGTTGGTTCTCCTGAGAAAAGAAATGAGAAAAGCAAAACTCCCACATTCCTTTCTTACTGTTTAAGTCCTCTCTCGCAGTAAATTTACATCTTTGTACAAATCGCTTTATGTGTCCACTTTTTACTCCTTTTTCCTGCAAAAATCAGACCAGGCAGAAAGGTAGACTTTTAAACTGAACTAATTCGAGCACCAAACTTTTTTTTGGGGTGGGGCTGGGGGTGGGGGGGTGGAATATTTTTTTGCCACTTGAAATTCAATTTTGGAGCAAGATGCTGTGAAACATTGCTCACGTCACCTATCATAACGTCATCCTTCATTGCTAGTTGGGTATTTCTTTAAGGGATGCCACCACTGCTGTCATGTCCCCAGTTACTTATTTTGCATAACCTCATTGTTTGCCATGATTTCCATGGGCCGTGCTACCATTTCTCACGCGGACTGTTTTGCGGGCGGATCTCGAGGCTCAGGCTAACTCTGGATTTGGATCTGTGTAGCTTTTTCACGAAGAGCTGGCCTTACAGTGGGTTGTGTGCAGCGGGAGCGTGCGGGAGGCAGCCCTACAGCAGGCCTGGTTCTTCTTCGAGCTGATGGTGAGCAAACTGGAAACTCCTTGCTTATTGTCTTGCAGTTCATAGTTGAAAACACAAACAGCAACAACTGCAAGTGACTTTGTTGTAATTTATATTCCTATAGGTGAAGAGCATGGTGCATCATTTGTATTTTGCTGACAAACTGGATGCGCCGAGAAAGAATCGTTTTCCTGAGCGTTTCATGGATGATGTAACTGCTTTGGTCAGCACAATCGCCAGTGATATAGTCTCTCGGTTTCAGAAGGTAATGGCAAACAATTAAACTGAGCCTCGGTCAGAGCTCAGGCACCAGCCCTCCTGCAGTTTGCTGGTGCCTAGACCAGGAATTGTGTACAATACAGCATGCTCTTCTTCATTTTCTTTCCCGTTTTTCTCTTCCTTCTCTCTAGGATACAGAAATGGTTGAAAGGCTCAACACCAGTCTTGCATTTTTCCTCAATGACCTGTTGTCTATCATGGACAGAGGATTTGTTTTTGCTCTTATTAAGACCTGCTACAAACAGGTGAATGCAGATAAACAGTACGACTTAACTGTGAAGCATAGCAGAGCCCATTACTCTAACTTTCTTTGGACAGACAGTAAAGCATGATACAGAATTCTTCTCTGCAGGGCTTTTTAGTGCAAGCAGGGCATTCTCAGTGGTCATTTAGAGTTTACACCCTTCTGATTACACTCCTAAATGTGAACTGGGAGTAACTCCCTTGAGCGAGTGGACATGCAGGAGAAGGGAAGAATCATTTCCTCTGCTCACCGTGTTCAGAGTTATTGAACCAAAAATTAGTAGGGGTTTTGTGAGGGAGCTCAGACCGTCATGGTTTGTTAGCGGGTCTCTCAAGGACACGCTGACCCTGTGTGATCATATTGATCACCAAGCTCCCCTTCCATCCTTCTGAGGATGCGTGGTCTCCTCCCCCATAAGGAGGGTTCCTGCGTTGTGCCTCGGGAAGATTATTTGCAATGTTGTGGCAGGGGAAATCACCTCAAACCACAAAGTTCTGTTTGACTACAAACATCTGTGCTGATGCTGTGCGCAAAGGAGATGACGAGGTATCAGGAGCTTAGGCTTAGGCTCATTTTTACCTCAGCCAACAGCATTTTGTATGAAGGGCAAGAACAGCAATAGCGTTTGAGCTTTGGTGCCCACTGTATATTAGCCAACCTGTATCTTTGACCTGTTAATGCATCACAGTGTGTGGTCCTGCTTCTCACAACTCCCTAGGGAAATCAATAGGATGTGGGTGTCATACGTGAAGTATGGAATTCTTCACTTGCTTCTATAAATATGGCTGTTAACGCATCTTGTAGTGGTACGTGTGCCGCTGGCTGGGATGCGTATGGCTCCCGCGCGCAGAAGTTTAACCTGCAGCACAAAGAAGTGATGTGGGTCTGAGCACTCAGTATCAAGCTCCTCATTTCTTGCTTTGGAAGTGGTTTTGGGAAGTGGTGGTGAGAGAGCGGGGCTGGTGCTGCAGTTATACTCGTTCAGTGCTAACTGCAATCTAATGGTCTAAACTTTTCAGGTGTCTTCAAAGCTGTATTCCTTAACAAATCCAAGTAACCTGGCATCTTTGAGGCTGGACTTCCTTCGCATCATTTGCAGCCACGAACACTACGTCACCTTGAATTTACCCTGCAGCTTGCTCACACCGCCTGCGTCTCCATCACCATCTGTGTCTTCAGCAACTTCCCAGGTACGCTCTGACAAGGACCCTGTGTGGAAATGCAAGCTGAGCTTTGTTCTGAGACTTAAATCCTATGAGGCAGCTGTATCACCATTATTTTCAGTCTCTGCTTGCTAATATTTTTTGGAAGGGTTTATTTAGAAATTAGCTTTTCCTGCCATATAGATTTTGGCTTCTTCTGTTCTTTTATGATTGAAAAAAGAATGCCCATATTACTACCCTCACAGTGACCACACATATTTCTGTCCTTAGGGACCCTGTCCTCCCCTGTATTGGAGAAATGCACGAACCATTAAGGAAAGCGCTTTGTCCAGTGTTGCCCTTTTCTTACAAAACGGGGGTCTTTCTAGCACACTGTGGCGTAGTCCCGGCCTGCTCAGAAAAAGAAATTTGAATTAGCAAGTGTGTCATTCAAGTGGATGAATCAGTTGTAAAATTACATAAACTAAATCAAATTAAAGCCTTCTTAAGCCTGAATAGAGCATCCGTACCCGAGTTAAAGGTTTAACTAAACGGTTGTTTGGCTTAACTTCCCTAAGGCTTGTCCTGTAGGTGGGAAGGCAGTAAAAATAAGCAGAATTAATAAAAGAGTTAATGAGCCTGGTTGGGATAGATGTACCTAGAGGCAAACAAAAAAGGGAGAAGGTACTTTATGTGAGCTTGTCTTTAATTCTGAAAACTTCTCCTGGCGTGTTTCAAAAACTTTAACTGTGTTCCAAGGGGCCTCGTTATGCAACTTCTGAAACTTGATGTTTTCACAGAGTTCTGGGTTCTCCACAAATGTCCAAGACCAGAAGATTGCAAATATGTTTGAACTGTCTGTGCCTTTCCGCCAACAGCACTACTTGGCTGGGCTTGTGCTAACAGAACTGGCTGTCATTTTAGATCCTGATGCAGAAGGGTAAATCTTTACCATTTTTTTTGTTCCCCAAGAGTTTTCTGTAATTCCAAGGAAATGGTTGGATGCAAAGCAAGTTCTGCCATGGCCAGAGTTAATTTAAATGTCCGAGCTGAGAAGATAAGAAACCAGTTCTTTAAGAATCCTCTCCTTTCTCCCTACCCCTTGTATTTCGTACTTCCGTAGCCCTGACTCTAAACATGATTTCAGTCACGTTTTTCTAGCTGAGAAGAAATGCCACAGGGGCACTGCTGGAGCTCTGAGAGGAAAATAGCTTTTCTCAATTGTAACAAGAAAATAATTTTCAACATTTAGGAAGTCTCTGTTGCTGGTGGTTTTAAATGTTACAACGTATTTCGCCTGTGGTCCTCCCAGCTCCTTTTAAACATAAATTATGCATTGATGAGGCCCCTGTGGGTTACATAAACAGACAAATAGAGTCAAGCATGCAGAGTTTGTCGGTGCCTTGTCTGGCTCGTGCAGCAAATAACTTGCTGCGGTAGGAGTGCAGGCCATAGTCCTGACATCCAGTCTGTTACTTGTGTTATTTAGGGCTGTATTCTGCCTTGCCTCTTTAAAGTGGGTTTCAATGGAAATTATTGATTGCTTCCACAGTCCTAAGTTCTCTCGCAGGCATTTTTCTCAAGGTGGACTCGGAAATATCAGCCGAGTCGACAAATGCTGATGATTCATGGTTAATTCCGCCCCTTTACCAAGAGGTCTCAGGAGTTAAACATTCATTCCGTTTCCTGTTGGAGAAGAAAGTGATGCCGTAAATGAGAATATTTTCTTGTATATGTACATAACACACTGCAGTCCCATTTGTTTGGCCTGAAATGGAAAAAGCAGCAAATCTTTACCCATATACCCTGTCTGCAGAAATCCTGCTTGTAGCATAGGAGCATCCTGCTCACTGGTTAGAAATCAGGTCTTGTCTCTAACCATGTTTGCCCTTGCTCTTCACAAGCGTTCTGTTCTCACCTACCTGCCTCTTGAGCTGGCTCACCTTGCTGTTCTCAGCACTTAGGCTGGGCCCAGGATGGTAATCTCTGCCCAGCTGTACCAAGGAGCCATCAGGATGATCTTGCTGGTGTCCGCTGGGGAGACAGATCCTCTCTCAAACCCTCTCTTGACAAAAGAAGCCCCCTGATAGCAGTTCAGCCCTGGAAATGACTTTTGATCAAAGCTCTTGAATTTTGGTGGGGATGTGTACCAGTAATGCAGTTGTTTGTTACCATTTTCCAGAATGGCTTGTAGTTTGCTCCTTATTAGCTATTCTCAGGCTTAAATGTTCTGCCTTTGCCCTGGTAGATCCACCACATAAAGGAAGAAAGTCTGTTCAGATCTGCTCTTCCCATGCCTATGAAGTGTTTAATAGCTAGGATCATCAGTGGGTTAGTAGTAGAGGGCTCAGACAAGCTTGACATCACAATGTTTTGATCACCTTTAGAAAAGGCTCAGAATTGTTCCTGATTGCATTATCCTGCAGCAGGAGTGGAGCAGGATGCCAGTCGAGTTGTTTATGGTGTTAGAGCTTTGCCTTCGGTCTTCATAGGTGATACAGAGCCTTAAATTTGTTCTGTCCTTGCTGTTTTGCTCCATTAGCAAAATGCTTGGCATTTTAGCTCACCTATTTTGTAAGAGCTTATTGGATGGAGTGGGACAGAAAAGCCTGTGGAATCCTGGTACCTGAGAGGGGTGTTAGATGGATCCCTCGCTGCCGGGTGCTGTACAGTAACACGGTCCTGCTCCAGAGCACTGGCAGTCTAAAAGACAATGCAGCATGCAGATGAAGAGGGCCAGCTGAATGTGACAGTTGGGGAGAGTGGGTCCGAGTAGCTAGACCCTGAACAGGTTGTCTCTGCAAACAGTGCTGGGGCGCTTCAGGTATTAACTCAGAATAATGACGGTGGCTCGTTTCAGTGCCCATGCTGCCCATATTGACTGATGTTTCAGGACAGAAGTGAGAAAATCGGAATTTGGCCCTCAGTATTCAGTGACAAAAGTCAGTTTTCCAAGCGTGCGGTGTTGACACAAATTCAGGCCAGGGCTGAGATAACAGAGGGGGTGGTTGGAGGGCAGCAAGATCATTGCAGTATCAGCCAGAAAGATTACTGGGCTGTATTTCCTCCTCTTCGCTGTGGATCGATCCACCACACTACCCGCTCTGTTCTACAAAGGAGAAAAAGAAATCCCTGTAGCCCTAGGTTTGAATTACGCTGCTTCATCCGGGTGTGTTTTCCCTGCATGCAGTTCTGTGGCCTGCAGGACAGTTTCCCCTGAACTGTTAGAAACACAGGTTAGGTGCCACTCCTTCAAAATAGAAGAACAAAGCCTTTTCCTTAACCTTAATCTGAAGGAACCAGTTAGTTAAATAAGCATTTCCTTCCTAGTTGTAAAAGGTCTCACTGATTACACAGCCAAGCAATTGTAGGATCTCATTACGGCTTGATTAAAAAACACAGGAAAGAGGGGCAGCTATGAGGAGCTGATGTCCTCCTAGCCTGATCTGCTGTCTTACTAATTGTTTGGAACCCCCAGCAATCCAGTCAAAGCCTCTCATCCTTTTTAACCAGAACTCAACTCTACTTTCCAGGTAAAGTGGATACTGCCTGAAATTCAGCCCTTCTTTTAACACCTCAGGCCTGAACACTGAAGCTTATGTTTTGCTCCTGCGTAATGTATGAGCTTCCTTGGCTGTTTCACGCATGGGGTAAAGTTGTCTCCTTGGCCTGGTTTGCCTGCAGAAGCAAACAGCTGCCGAGATACCTGCTGTTTGCTCTGAGTTTTGCTGCTGTGTGGTGGCTGAGGGAGCTGAAAGGAGCAGAGCGAGTTCTTGAGAGATTCGGGGGTGTTTGTGTTTTCAAGGCATGAGCACCGAGGGTGCCCTGCAGAAGGGGATGGTGCTTGTGCTCTGCCAGCGTGTCCATCCTAATGAGGAGAAAGGCCATTTTTTTTGCTGTTCCTCCTTCTACCTCTCTGTTTCTTTGGCACTTTTTATGCACAGTTATTGATCTGTCGACTGGTTTGGTTGAATAATTGCGTGGGAGGTCGGGGAACTGAAGCAGAAGTGTCCTGATCACTTGATCAAAGCCATGTTCTGTCTTAGCAAGGTTTTTCTCTCTGTAAATAGTATTAAATAGAAACAAAAAGAAAAGAACACAGTGACTAGTTTCACTAAACCCACTGTCCTCTCAAGTTTCTCTCCCTGTTTTCCAAGGTCTCACGATCCTCAGTACTCTCGATACTTCGGCCTAGCAGTAGCTGAGGCTCTGTTTTTATATGGAAAATAGGAGAGGGTTCATATTATATTGGGTGTGCACCTCGGCAAGATATTTTTGTACATTTTGCGTGGCTAGGTCAAAAGCAGTGCCATTTGTGAACTCCATGGGGGATCAAAAACACGTGTAATGGCAGTTTATGTGGAGTTAAAAATAAAACCCAGGATTTTTTTGCCTTTTTTGAAGCCCCTTAGTTACAAAGTATAGTTTGCTTTGAAGCCATTAACTGATCGGCATGACCCAACTCTCTTTTAACAGTTTGTTTGGATTGCATAAGAAGGTCATCAATATGGTACACAATTTACTGTCCAGTCACGACTCAGACCCGCGGTACGCTGACCCCCAGGTAAAGGCCCGGGTGGCGATGCTGTATCTACCTCTGATTGGCGTGATCATGGAAACCGTGCCTCAGCTTTACGACTTCACAGGTATTTTGTGTTCTGCGCTTTGAATCTGTGTCCATCTGCTCCCACGACTGGAGTGTTTGGGTTCGAAAATGATAACAAAACCCCGTTGTTAGATGAGACTGTTTTGATTTCTGAATTACAACTTTGACATGTTTTCACATCAATTTCCTAAACTGCACCTGCAAAACATTCTTCAATGACTGTTACCACTCAAAAGCTGTGTTTTCCCTCTTGTTTGCATGAAGTGAAAAGCTTGCAGGCATTTTAGTTGACATCTGGCTGGCTACGCAGCCTCCCTCTGTGTCTTTGCCCTGCTTAAAAAGCCACCCCATGTACTCAGTTCCCATAACCATTCCCAGGGATAAGCAGAATTCCTCTTCTGCCTCTCAGTATGTGCTCTGTCAGCAGTTTGCTTCAGGGGTGCTTTGCAAAGTGTCCTGAAAAGGAGCAGAGGTGGGTCTCCCCACCTCTGGAACTCCCATCTGGAGTAGTTTGGAATTCAGAGTCGTCTTCTACATCCTTGGAGTTTAATGACAAAATAAAGCTGTGAGTAAGGATTTGGAGTGAAGTATTCAAAGGGACAAAAGGTCTGTGTTCAGGAGGGTTCCAGATATTGAGGTTGTGTAGGTTGCATTTGAAAGTAGTTGTTTTCTTTGCTTTTCATGACATCAAATAATAGTCTTGTTTACATGCAGGACCCCATGAGTCACAAGTGGTGTTCCCCAGGG